ACATGTAACTGCTCCCGCAGATACATGTAAATTTGTATATACAGTTGGAGTTAACATGAGAAGGATATCTATCGATTTTTGATTGTACCAGAGAGCAAGTTGTTCGAAAGACGGGAACGAGCTTAGCTTGTGGATAGGCTATGGCTAGTGATGTACTCAGCCTTCTGTTGATCATCCCTGCAATGTTCTTGACACGGGTCATGAGGTGGACGTGGAAAAGTCATTCAAAATTATCAATAAGCAAAAGAGTTCAATGCTCCTTAGGTTTGCTGAAGCCTTTTCCATCAAGCGCCTAAAACCTGATTTGTGCGTTCAGAAAGAACCAGTTATCAGTCTTTCTTTGCCCTGGTAACTGAATATTTTTCATCCTAGTGCAAGATACTGAAAAGTTTTCATTTTGTAGGTTTATTATTGCTCGGAATTGTGTTCAAGATTGCATATATATATATATGTATATATTATTAGTGTGTGTATATTGATCGATTGATTTCTGTTTAAAATGACCTCTGTGTAAGCATGTAAAATTGTTATTGTAGATACATTTAATAATGTTTTTGCCCTGTAAGCAGCTGAAGAGAAGGCGACGAAATAAAATATGGTACCATTTTATTCTGCTAAATCTGTAGTTGTTGCTTTGTTTAAATTCATTAAGGGGAACAAATGTATGAAATTAATTTTCAACTGAAAAATTTATAAATATCACTAGCATATATTTAATATCAACACAATGAAAGTATTACAGGCTAATATTCATTTGATGTGGGATACATGTGAAAAATGTAAACATTTATACTAAGAAAATGAAACAATTCAATTGAAACTCTAATATATTTACAAATATGTTGGATTTTACAGAACAGTCGAGTGAGTAGTTGGTTATATCTTTGGAATCATTTATCACACTAATTTCGAGAATGGTTTGAGCCTGTTTCATATCAATGAAACTATTCCCATGACAGTACGTGATGTCATAGTAACAGAGCTGCAAGTCAACAAGCTGATCATGTGCTTGATCAATATGCAAGCGACTGTTTATACCGACAACTCAGCGTCACAGAATAATTAAGGTTTTCTTGAGTGAACTGTGGAGTAACTGGACCTCAAGAAAAGTTTCAAACACTACAATTCACAGTCTAAGGGGATGTAGGTCGAGTTATGAATCGGGCCACCATTATTCGAAGCCTTGGGAATGGCTGTGATTTTATCAACACAATTTTCTGGAGAACCATTTGCACTCAGCAGTTGCTTATTATTATTATTACGTTCCTTAGGTCGACAACCATCCGAAAACATTGCTCTTGCTCTGTGAAGCAAGCACTTTATCAGCTTGCGTTTGTATTTTGAGTGCACGAAGCTGAAAAATGAGTTCTGTGAACCATTGATGTAGGTATTCTATATACATTTCTTCTCATTGTGCCATCCTCTTTTCTGAGCATTAGGACGTCTAGAAATGAAATACTAGAGTCTTTTTCTTCTCAATCGTAAAATTTATTGCAGGATGAACATTGTTAAATTTATCCAGGATGTTCTTTTCTTCATCCACACTTTTTATAATCAAAAATATATTATTCTTGTACTGACAATAGAATTCTGCTCCATCAGTAACATCTCTCAAAGGTCCATTTTCTAGTTTCGCAAAAAACGTCGACTAGAATGGGTCCTAGTGGTGGCCCCATTGCCACGCCGTCGATTTATCTATATAGTTCCCTATTAAATAAAAAGTGGACATTCAAGAGAACCTGTTTCATCAAAGATATAGGTATGCCAACATCGATATTTCGTCTTATGAGTTGTTCGCATACAAAGTTCACTGTTTCCGTAAGTGGTTCATTCGTGAATAGGTAAGATACGTTAAATGATATCATGAATTTATTGTCAACATTTAAATCTTTTATCCTTTCAAAAAATCCCAAAGTATCCTTCACGCGGTGTTTCACCAACTCGGTATGAAGAGGCTGGAAGAGTTCGGCTAATCATTTGGCTGCGGGATGCTATGGTGAATTTAACATATCTAATACTGGCCGAAGCGGAGCATCATTTTTGTGCACTTTAGACGAGCCAAATGATCTTGGTGTGAACGTCCCAGCGGGTTAAAGTGATGTATACTGAGTCTGTGGGAAATAGCCTTGTTGTTTCAGTCTTCTGAATGTTTCCGCTAACTGTTTCTCTATCTTTTCAATCGGATCTAGAGAAGAGGGGATTCTCTGGAATTTAAGACTATCATTAGGAATGCTATCATCTCCCCAAAGTAATCCGCTTTGTTCATGATAACTGCTCCTGAGCCCTTATTCGGTCTTGTTGTTATTATGTTGTCATTTTTACGAAGAACATTCAGAGCTTCTCTATATTTCTTTGGTCAAAATACTATATGAATCGCGTTTACCATTAAATTAATAATAGCAGCAATCGACCAGTGTTGATTTAAGTCTTTTAACATATTCAGTTGATGAGGGTGTTAGGCCTTCAGTTTGATGGTAGAGAATTTCGAACTGAATTTGTGCATCCATTTTGTTGATTTTTACATGGCTACCACAAAATTTAGGGCCAAGCGATAAAACCTTGAGATCCACTTCACTGAGGACTACATCCTAAAAACGTATGCAAAGAACAATTTGGGTTGAGAGGAAATCTTTTTTCTGCGCTTTTCTCTGCAAACTGCGTAACAGCTAATTGTATTTCTTTTCTTTCCTTTTACTCACAATTTCATCTACATAATCTTAAACTAGTTTTTTCACGTTTTCTGGTAATTCTTCGCCAGCAATAGAACTTTTCTTATATATTCTTTGGCTCAGTGATAATACACTCGATCGCCATGCACATTATCAGATTAGTTCCATTTAAACTTGTAATACTCAGTTATCGAGACTCTAAGGTATTTACAAATATCTTGGATTTTGCAGATGAATCGAGTGAGTAGTTTTTTATATATTTGGAATCATTTATCGCACTAATTTTGAGAATCATCTTCTCC